CTGCATCTGCATCTGAATAACTTCTGCTTCTGCATTTGAATAACTTCTGCATCTGAATCTCAGAACTTCGATTATGTGGGTCTTCAAAAATATACTTGACAGTTTGTAAAGTCTGAATAACTTTCTTCTGAGCTTCCAGAATATACAGACCTGGAATAAAATTGTTCAGAATAAGTATCAGATTTACAATAACATAGAAGGTTTTGTCATTTTCAAAATTAATAGGAGTTTTCCTCAACAATTCTGACTTTCTTAGCAATCCTGACATAGATTAAGTAACTATTAGACCCTTCCAAGAGTCGTTCCCATACCTTGTACAAAAAAAAAATAGACTCTCTCTCCAAACTGTAGAACACATCTCTGAGTACTCACAAAGAGTCGTTGCATACTTTTTGTCTCTCATCCAGACAAATGTCTTCACTTAACGTACGGTCACTTCTCTCATGTGTTTACAAATGAGCTCGTCACTCTGTATTATCCGAAAAGAAGAAAAAAAACGGAGTCGACAAGCTTACCAAAGAGACGGCTCAAGGTCCTCTCAACAATGCATAAATTCTCTCGCTTTTGCCCTTCTCAATTATATCACTTCTGGCTGAACTTCAATTTGTAAAGCTCCAGATTCGAGCTACACACTTGTATCATGTAGCCATTATGTCCATCTAATTCTCTATAGAAAGAGTCTTGAAAAAAATTCTTCGAAAAACATATGCAGAACCTTCCATCAATCGAAGCTGTCAGTTAGGTTTTCTATTGAGACATATTATCTTCTTTTGATGATGGCAGATTTTGATAACATCGTCTCACCAATCTCTTAAGCAAATATGTCCGTGATTTCTGGCATAAATAACATTGGAATGTCATACTTTGATGTCATGAGTGAGTCTTCAATTTAGAAATGCCAACAATCATCAAACCCATATATGGAAGATACTCTGACAATCAAGTTTGACTGTTTTTCAAAACTTAGCAGTTAGACACCCTTTATTCTGCAGAATTTCTAAACTTTAGTGTAATTTGACTCAAATGCTGGTAGAATTGGGGCATAGACTTTTCACGGTATAAATATGAACCCCTGCACACTTAAATAATTTCAGTAGTTATTTGGATTAAGTTTTGTCCTCATCAAAACCATTTAGAGACATATTCCAACTCGGGCTTGGATCATGCTAGTCAAAAAAAGAACAGAAAAAGTCCGAGTCGTCGGGCATGGACAAGTCTGATCCTCGTGTCCAGCCTAAAATTCCTTGTCCAGGTCATCCATGATTGAAAACCGCTGGGCTATTTCGTGAGACGATTGAACTTTGGGTGCGCACCAAGCACGGGACATGTTGCTCGATCTTCCTCATCCTAATTCGACGAACCTAAAACTGGGGCTGTAAAAAGAATCAGGAACCGAAGTGGTCAGATGTTCTTGCGATAACATTGAACAAATTAAAAGTTCAGAGGACCACATTGCACATTGAGCCAAGTTCAGAGACCGCTTGTGTCATTTTCTCTAATTATTCAGATCAAAAGATGATATGAACGAAATTGTTTTGGGATGAGATAGGTCTTCTGAAGAAACTCAATCGATTCCGACCTGCCGACACACCTCTAATTCGTTGCACGGGTTAAGAACTAGACATGCCAGACTTGTCCTGGATTCTTCAACCATAGGTTTAGTCTCGCACCTCTCTAACGGAGTTTCACAACACTCGCTGATATGAAACCCGCAATCTTTCTAATAGAGACAGAACAGAGAACAAACTTCAACAAACCTGTATGCCCATTGCTCGCTGAATTTCTACTTTAGTAACAATTACAAGACTTCCTGGAAACGAACTCTAATTGGCCTCAACTTACTCCTCAAAATCAAACCCTAACACATGTGCAGGCTTATGGTATGATAGTGTCTATACTCATGGTCCTCTTAGTATTTTTCCACATGACAGTTCACTTGTCTAGACATTCAAATGACCTGGGAAAGTTGCTACATTTGTATGAAGATCCTAAACACCAGAAATTTTCTTTATTTAGATTAAGCTTAGAACCGACTTTGGATGGGTGGGCCATGATTTGTACAGTTACGAAAAAGACATGTGCTCCCAAATTAGTTTAGAAGTCCGAAGGGCGTCGTTCGGTGGCCTAGATAAGGTGCATAAGATACTCCACGTCAGCCATACATTGAATCATCTGGCAGCTGACACGTAGCGAGAAGGGCCCACTGTCAGAATTTTTAAACTCACCTTCTTTTTCTCCTTCCTCTCTCTTTCTCTCTAAGTTCTCTCTCTGTTCACGGCCAAGTTCATGACTTCACACCTCTTCGGCTCCACGCATCCGCGACCTGCTCCACACCTCCGCGACCTCAGCTCCTTGTCACCATGAGGGTGTCACGGTGGCAGTTGCGACCAAGAATCGAGGTTGCGACGCCATGGCCAACTGAGATCCGACGTCGCCAACGGCGGTCGCGGCCTCAATCAGAGGGTCTCCATGTCCAAATGGCGACCTCGACGAGGTTGCTCATGGCGTCGGCGGCCTCGATCCCTCATCGCAACATAATGGGCGACCTTGGATCGAGGCGCAAGTCGCAGTGGCGTGCCTGCGCGCGAGACAAAGATTGAATCGGCAAAGAGAGAGAACACGGCGACCACTTCTTCATCTAATTCCACCTTCACAGTTTGATTTTTGTTTTCCCCTTTGTTAGTCTGTTGAAGACTTCTTCATTTCTTGATTTTTTGTTGAGCACGGAGAATTAAAAAGAAGAACAGTGGAGGTTTTGATTAGAGGACTGGAAATTGGTGAAACTTCATCAAATCCTGTGAATGAATGGAGAGCTGTGCTCTGGGTCGAACTTGAGAGAGAACTTGGAGAGAGAGAACAAGCAAAAAGAAGAGCAAAGAGAGAGAGAAAACGGGGAAAAAAGAAGAGAAGAGAAGAGAAGATGTAAATTTTTTAAAGTCCTTCTTTTTGCCACGTGTCATGTACCGAATGGTTCAATGCATGGCTGACATGGAGTATCTTATGCCCCTAATATTTTCTCCTAGATAAGAGGTTGAACAGGAAAGACATTATTTTATTTAGCATTCGGGGATAATTGTTCAAAAAGTTCTATACCTATTATATTTTTGTTAATCAGCTCTAAATCTTTTAGTTTTGCCAATTAAGTCATAAACATTTTCATGTTTTACCAATTCAATCTATTCGCTTAATTTTAGCCAGAAATCACTGACGTGAACGTTGGCATCCTACATGGCACGGCCGGCGTTGACGTAGATAATTTTTAATTATATTTTAATATTTTTTCTAATTTTTAATTATTTTTTCTTTCCTTTTTTTCTTCCAAACCCGACAACGGCTGCTAGCCAACCCTCGCGGGTACAAGCAAGGGCTAGCTGACCCTCGCCGGCCGCGGGCAAGGGTCACAGCCGTCGCCCAAACCTAGCGAGGGCTTCACGGCCCTCACCTAGTGGCTAGCGAGGGTCGTCAGCCCTCGTCTATGGTCAACAAGGGTAGGCCAACCCTCACCTGTGACCGTCGAGGGTTGGCCGACGACCCTCGCTAGACTTGGTAGGAAAGAAAAAGAAAGAAAAAGAAAAATAATAAATAAATTATCCACATCAGCGTCGATCATCCTAAGTGGCACTATCGGCGTCCATGCCATCAATTTCCGCTTAAAATTGGCCGGATGGACTCTATTAGCAAAACGTGCAAATGTTTAGGACTCAATTGGTAAAAGTGCAATAAGTTTAAGGGTTAATACCACAAAAAACCCAAAACTAGTACACCTTTGACAATTTTATCCTGAACTAATTTTTTGATTACGAAAAACCCCAAACTGGTACACCTGTGATAAATTTACTCTAAATTATTTTTTTTATCACAAAAAATCATAAACCGGTACACTTGTGACAATTTTACTCCGAACTAATTTTTTGACCACAAAAAACTTCAAACTAGTACGTCTATGATAATTTTACCCCAAACTAATTTTTTGACCACTAAAAACCCCAAACCAGTACATTTATGACAAATTTACCCTACATTAATGTCCGTTAAATTGGATTAATATCACGAAAAATCACAAATTGGTAAACTTGTGACAAATATAGGGGTAAAACCCCAAACTAGTACACCCGTCAACTACCATGTATCATCAAACTTAGCAATTTGATAATAAAATTTAACAGAAACTAACATTGGGTAAATTTATCACAAGTGTACTAGTTTGGGGTTTTTGGTGGTCAAAAAATTAGTTCGAAGTAAAATTGTCACAAGTGTATCGATTTTGGGTTTTCCGTGGTATTAATCCTAAGTTTAAGCCTTTTTCGACAATTTTCCCAGCATATGGCGATACACTTTGGATCGGATAAATTCATATATGTCTAGATAAAAGAAAGAAATGAAACAGAGGGTTTCAATTTTATGATAGTGCATCGTGCCCGCACAATAAATTGTCATCTTTTAGATCTGAGACCACGCGACCACAGCGGTGGTCTCCATCCTACCAAAATTCCTACATGGAGGATTCACAGTTTCTCCTTCTTTTCCTTATTGGCTATTCGATTCGATAGGAGCTTGCATTCTCTGCATCTAGGCCATTTATTAGAATTTTTTATTTTCTTGTCCAATCCTAACCTAGGTTTTACCGAACAGTTCACGTTATAATTATGATGATATCTCGGGCGTTATACTCGTTTATTTTCCAAATCAAGAATAAGTATAAAGAGGTTCGATGAAATTTATCACTGAAATTTATCGCATTATACTTTATCTTATTCTAAGACTTGTCGGGGCGGTCAGACATCTCCTGAGTTGTTGAAGGCTCAGTATCTCGTGTTCAAATCTCGATGCCTTCTACTCAAAATAACAATTGCAGTCACACTGTCCGCTGTATTAGCGTAGAATGAACAAACAGAAAATAGAAGCACTTTTTAACATTGTAATGAGAAATTACATGAATTTATTCATTTCCATATTCTCCCCTGCACAGTATATACTGTGCTTATTGACAGAAGACTTCCTTATGCATCTGTTACAAGGTACATAACGGGTTTTATTTGTCTTGGAACTTCGCTCATCGTGTAAGGATGAAGCTGCTTATCAGTCATGTCTTCAAGGACAGAAGACAACCTTATAATCTGTCCCTCCAGGGCAGGTGAAAACACTGGTAGCATCATCCTTGGGGTAACTACGAGCATTCGGACACCTTTGTTTGAAGTACCTGGAGTAATCGGTGGGCCCGCAACTGCCGGAATTGCAACAGTACTGATTTGTCTTGAAAACCGGGCACGGCCCATTGCACCCACCCGGGACCTTCAGCGCGGCCGGGCACTGCCCTATGATGTCGGCCGTGCACTTGATCACCTGGTTGCACCCGCCGGAGGTCGAGCTGAACTCCATCGGGACGTTGAAACCGTCGATGAGCGACATGTCGACGAAGTCCATGTTCATGTACTGGTTCAGGGCAAACTCGGCCAGAGTGTTCGGGGTCTTCCTGTAGGCCTGGCACTGGAGCACACCGCCGCAGTCGCCGGTCTGGCAGCGTCCCCTCCCGGCCCCGTCAAAGTTGCAGTTGGTGCGGGCCCAGATCCGCGCGCCCTTCGTGCCGGCCTTGACTTCGAGGGGCCATGACTGGCCACGGTCGAGCTGCTGCCCGCCGCCCGGGACGGCGGCGGCCCACACGGTGTAGGGGCAGTTGTTGGTGATGTCAAACCTAGCTGCTTCAGCGAGAGTCGAGCAGCTAATTAGTACGAAGAAGATAGAGGAGATGGAGAGATTTGTGAAGAACCTCATATTTTGTAATAGTGGGGTTTCAAGCTTGATGCTTTAGCTCGTTACCAAAGGCTCCGTATAAATAGAGGGATTGAACAGTTAAATGTCGACTAAAGAATTGTGCAAGTCTTCGACGACATTGACATGTAATAATCTAGGGGCTTGCCCGAGTCTTATGTTTTATGTTACCCTTTTTCTCTTATGGTATTGTTTGCCTCTTTATTTTATTTTTTTAATTCTGTCTTTTACTTTTCGTTCTGGAATTCTACCCTTGGAAAATGTTTATTATTTTTTACCATTGTCTACGTCTTTCTCATCAATCCTGCCTCGTAAAAGTTGAGCTTATACAGATGATGAGAGGAAAAGTGTCAAAAAAATCTTAAACCTTTGGCATTGGTGTCAATTTAGTCATAAACCTTTTTTTGGTGTCAATTCAGTTCTAAACCTTTTGCATTGATGCCAATTTAGTCCTAAACCTTTTTTTTGTGTCAATTCAGTCCTAAACATTTTGCATTTGTACCAATTCAGTCCCAAACATTTTGTCTTTGTACCAATTCAGTCCTTCCGACCAATTTTGGCCGAATTTTACTGAGATGGACGCCAGCCGGCCGGTAGCCGGTCATCGTTGCTAACGTGGACAATTTTTATTAATATTTTAAATATTTTTTGAATTTTTATTTCTTTATTTCTTTTTTTTTCCCTCCCCTCTCTCTTTCCTCCAGCCGGTCCTCGGATCAGCGACCGGTCAGAGGCCAGAGGCCGGCGAGGTCGACCTAGCCGACCACTAGCGAGGCTCGCCCTCTCCAGCAATGGCAAAGGCGAGCCTCACCATGGCTGGGCGAGGTTGGACCTCACCAGATCTGGCGAGGCCCGACCTCGCCAGAGGCCACGAGGTCGAAGGCCTCTAGTGAGGGCTCGAGCCTCGCCCGCCCAATGCGAGGCCGCCCTCGCAGCCATTCGGCAAGGGCGAGCCTTGCTGATCCGGCGACCGGCTGAAAGAAGGAGGGAGGGGAGGAAAAAAAAACAGAAAAGAAAAATATAAATAAAACTTCAAAAGGCACTAATGCAAAAGGTTTATGACTGAATTGACACCAAAAAAAGGTTTATGACTAAATTAGCATCAATGCAAAAGTTTTAGGACTGAATTTGCACCAAAAGAGGTTTAGGACTAAATCGACACCAATGCAAAAGGTTTAGGACTTTTTTGACACTTTTCCCCAGATGATGAGCTTAGTCTAATCGCATTTCTCCTTTTGTAATTTCATCCATGCAAATATGTCGAACCTACGTAAGATGTGCAAGCATAGGCACGAGGATAAATCATGCGATCTACACTCGAATTACTCCAACACTACCGAGTGTGACATAACAATAGAATTTGTCTTATCTGACGATATTCAATGGTTATGGTTTATTCATGTTGAAATTGGCATGATTTGAACTTTAAGCATGTCATTGAGACATAGTTTCCTTCATCGGTGGAGGAGTTAGTGACTGTCTGAGAGGTCACGGTGGTCCAATTACATTTTACCTAAAGTCTAAAGAGTGAACTGGGTCAAAAAAGTCGTGCTAAAAAAAGCCTGGGACCTAAAGACGAGCTTGCTTCATTAAATCAAAGCTGGAATTTGTGGCATTCGAGTAGACTTGGTTTTTCAAGGTTGCAGTACCAAGATATAAATGTCAAGGACTTCTTAGGGTATCGATTAATGAAGACTCATTGCATGTACCTTGAAAATGATATAGGTTCTATTCGATATAACCAATACTTGAAATAGCTATTGGTATCACCTTAGACATATAAACTATGAGACATCAAATATTCAAAGAGGTTATTTGGGACAACTTTTTCTTTAGTTACCTTAGCTGGGAAATTGGGTGCAACTTATAAGATATTTTGCAAAAGAACATTAATTAGAAATGTCATAATTTTTGGATGTCGTCTTCCACTGAGATATTTCAATTCGGGCAAAACAAAATCACACGAATAAAGTAGCAAACCTCCATTGCAAGTTTCAGCTACTAATTTTGCCCCAAATCCTCGATTGAGGTTAGGGTTTAAACAAGATGGTGAGAAATAGACCATTGCAAGATTCAGTTCTTAATTTTGCCCCAAAGTGCTTCGATCTGAATTAGGGTTTGAAGAGAATTTGAGCCAATTTGTCCCCAGTTCCGTTAAATTTGGGGCAAACATGTACAGAAACATCGTTCTAGAGCACTTATGCTGAATTATTGCCACAGTATTTTTTCGGGGAGTCACGCCATCTGGAAAAAAAAAGTTAAAATATTGTCATGCTAGATTTTCAGCATCACAAATCAAAGTTTGCACCTATGTGATCTTTTTTATTTCACCAAAATGGCACTAAAATGATCCGTTGAAAATTTTTGGCACTAAAATGAGTGACATACAAATGTTATGGCATTTTTAGTATCCTTTCTCTAAAATATATAGTTAACACATATTGGATGTAGTTGCAGCAGTTGTAAATCTTTTTTTTTAATAAATAATATTGTTAGTCAAGCTTTTCTGATAAACTAATACTCATGAATGCATGAAATTTGTCGTGTGTCTATGAACATTCCATTGACAAGGCAATCTGCCTAAGCCCTAGGATTACTCTGAGTGGGAGACACTTCGAAGGGTGTCCACGATACGCAACCCGCCAATCGGAATAGTGGTCCTAGAAAATGTCCTCCTACTATGATGAGAGGAAGATATAGTCCTTCAATGGGGTTTTAGGTTGGAAATTCAGATTCTAGACTCAGTATTTCACGGGGAGAGCAGAAATTCCATGACTTGAACGATTGATGGTGGCTCGAAGTAGGGGTGTAAATGGTTCGGTTTTCTTGAAAAACCGAACCGAACCAAACCGTTATGGGTGCACCATTGAACCGAACCGAATCTCACTCGAACCGAATATGAACCGAACTGAAAAACCAAATTGGTTCGGTTTGGTTCGGTTTGGTTCAGTTCGGTTTTCGGTTTCAGATCATTCTTTGTCAATGAACATGGAAAGGAACCCATCATCAAAACCAAAATTATCTTCTCTATCACCTGCTCTACCCAGAAAAGAACTTATACACAGAAAACAACTCTGCATGACCAACTTTGTCAGCCCAATCTGCTTGAGCACGAAATGACAAGAACCCACCCAATCGCACAGAGCAAGCACAACGGAGGATGAGAGCGAAGGAAGAAGACCGTACACACGTAGAAAGATGTCCGGAAATTGATTTGAAACTTCGACCCACGAACCTTAACCAGCGCCACACATCATCAACTGGTACTCTCTCTCTCCTTTTTTGGCGTGGAAGTTGACATTTTTCAGCGGCGCTCTCTGTTTGTCTTGTCGAACTAGGTGTTGTCGAGCGCGGATGGGGAGAGGTACGAGAGTTGCGGGATGGGTTCCGCTCGCCGTCTTGGCGTTGGCCACGAGCTTCCTCAAGCGAGCGAGATCGCACGGAGACCAGCCCTTGGCCGGGATTGCCGTTCACGCGACGGTCTCTACTCTCGATGGAAGGGCGAGCAGAGACCAGCCCCTGGCTAGGATCGTCGCCTTCAGTTCTTGGAGCGACGGCTTCAGTTCCGTTGTCGCGGGTGGTGGGGGCACAAATTGCGTCCCTCGATCGAAGGAGAAGGAGCAGACACAGGAGCCCTAAAATCCTTTTACTTAGGGTAAAAACTAAAGGCAACGAAGGGTTTATTTTCAATTCGGTTCGATCCGAACCGAAATAAATCGAATTGAAAAAAAAGTTGATTAATTTAGATAATCCGAACCGAAAACCAAATCGAACCGAACTGAAATGTACAAAATTTTCGATTCGGTTCGATTCAATTTTTCGGTTCGGTTCTGACACTCCTAGTTAGAAGGGTGAACTATTCTACTTCCCTTTCTTTTTTATATTGGTCCACTGAGAAACCCCAAAAGAACACTAACCGATAAAATAAGGACATGACTTTATGTCGACGTTCTCCATCCTCGTCATATCAAGACGTGGAATCGAGACGAAGGCTTTCTTTAGGTCAACTTCGGATATAAGGCAACTCTACCAAAACCCCACTTAATATGGATATTGTTTCGCTAAAGATCTATTTTAGAATGATTGAATTAGAATAGAGTTCAACTCGCTAGTCAATAGGACATATATTCCGTTTAATACGGTGTGAAGTAGTAAAGTAAGTTAATGTTTTTAGCAATATGAACCGAAGGGATAAGGATGGGTTCGGTTTTGTTTCGCCGAAATGTGTTGACGAAATATGGATCAATGAGTAAATCGACAAAGGTTGCTATAACATCCTCAATTTCAGTCCCTGAGACATGGCTATGGTTGAAGTTTGGTGGTTTTCCAATCGGAGCCAATTTTGCTCTTGTTCTGGAAAATCCAGATTCGGATCCTCTGTATCCCTTCGTTTTGTTATTTTTGTGGAGACTTTTGTGATCCGAATTTCTAAACACTTCCTTCTTAAAAATTTCTCCAAACATCTTCAAGTTTTACATACTTTAATTTCAAAAATTTTGGACTTGATATGAGTAGTACGATAGCCTAATTTCTGACCGTGTAAAACTGCCCAGAATGGGTATTTCTGTGATGTTCACACATTCTCGATTTTCTACAAATTTTTATGGGCCGAATTTGAACAAACTTCCTCAAAAGTTGTTAAGAACTTCTTTCTAGATAACATATATAAATTTGGAAATTTTTGGAGATGATTTGGATTCTGAAAAGAGCTTACTTTGAGAAGCAAAAATTCTGTTCAGGCAAACAGATTTTAGTCTGTTTTTGAGCTACTAAAAGTTGTAGTTACAGAAAGATTCAGATTTCGTGTTCTTCATGGAAAATGTTTTTTAAGGTCTTGTTTATGATATATTCAAATTTGGGAATTTTCTGAATTCATTTACTATGTTTTTAAGCCCAATTTCAAGAACAGTGCAAAAACTGCCGGTTTTGTCAGATTTCAAAGATTCATCATTTTCTATATGAGAACGTTGGAATCTCGACTTGATGTCTTCTGGTGATTTAATGTGCTCATTCTGAGATTTC